ATTCCCGCCAAATCTGTTTTCACTCAGCAGGCTCCCGCCAAATCTGCTTTCACTCAGCAGGCTCCCGCCAAATCTGCTTTCACTCAGCAGGCTCCCGCCAAATCTGCTTTCACTCAGCAGGCTCCCGCCAAATCCTTCCCGCCAAATCTGCTTTCACTCAGCAGGCTCCCGCCAAAATCATTCCCTGCTCTCTGCCAGCAGAAGAAAACCGATACCTTAGTCTGTTTCAGATTTCCAGCTCTGTTCCCGTCGTCCATTCCCTGCTCTGCTTTCACTCGGAAGGCTCTCGCCAAATCATTCCCGCCAAATCATCCATTCACTCGAACGTTGCCTGTGAACCTGACAGTTACTAAGGATGCTCCCGCCAAATCATTCCATTTTAGGAATCCCGTAGTACCTCCCACCGAATCTTTCCTTTTTAGGATCCTCCTATCGATACAACTGTCAATTTTCTCGTCAGCGGTTATTTGACCCTGTTCTCGACCAAGTGCCGATTCTTTCTGAGCTTTCAGATGTTATGAACGACCTGCTGCTTCCCTCACGACGTTAGTTGGATTCCACGTGCGTGCCAAAAATAGAACTACTCAGTTCAACGAAAGCACTACTACCTCTCGGTCCTGGAGAAGACTGAAGACTCTGTCAGATGGTTTGTACTCGCTCGCTGTACGTACGGCAATTGAACGATGGTACGGAAGTTACGGAACGAATGTAGAGATTGCATTCTGCAGACGACAGAAGTGACTGTGGTCCGTTGGATGGATGGATGGATCAGATGGACGGATGGATCCGATACTAGACAAAGAAGCGAACACGTAGGGTAATATATATATATATATATATAGAGACGGTCAGTCAAACACGGCAAGGACACAGCAGGTAGGAAGGGACATCACCAACCACAACAAACTTAGGTATCGCTTATAAATTTTACCCCTGAGATTCTGTCCGATGAAAGCAGTACTAACACACCACCCCCGGAGAAGACAATAGGAATAGACTGTCAGATCGCCAAACAACCAAACACTCAGGCGTCGTAGGGTACAATATATAGACGGTCAGTCAAACACAGCAAGCAGTCGTCAGGTCTATGAAGATCGCTATCATAGATCATGGTTGTTGTCCACATCTATGATCTATGCTTAACCCCAACAACCGGGGTTAAGGTGGATAATCACTTACTTAGTGCAATCATCAGGTTTTAGGGGATTCTGCTGCAGACTGTCGAGGGTTCAACCTCCTGATGAGTCAGTCGGTGAAACTCCGACGACTCAGTCTCTCACACCCCCTCGGTTGTTGTCCTCTTCTCCCTCTCTGCCTATTCTTTTTTTTTTTTTAATTATCTATAGCAAGTTATGGACCCTACAGCCAATTCGTAACCGTCTATAGCTTTCAAAAAAAAAAAAAAAAAACAACCGTCTATAGCACCTTGAGAGTGTGTTGTGCTTATGTCGTACCTGGATGACTACCAAAAAAAGCATCCCTTCGCAACTTGCGTAGTGTGTGTCATGACGCCTTGTGGAATCCACAAACGACTCGTGCAATCAATGACACAGTCTCTGCGCAACCCTGGCTGGTCGACGTGACATGACGATATACGCTATGCTGCAAGGTGTTGAATTGCAAAATTGCCATCAAGAATGAGTGCACAGTTACGACCTCTGCCAAGTCAAGGGTGATCGGATTCCGTGTGTGATATCGTCCATAATAAGGAAGTCGAACGGTGGAAAATGAAATGGCCTCTCGCGGAGTCTCGCCAGAAGACACGCATGATGTTGTGCGTTTGGCTTATGTCGTGCTGTTTGTTGCTGAATGCCCTACCCACCTCCCACTTGTTATTGAATCGTCTAGCGTCGCGTCTACTTGTTGTTGTCTTCGTTCTGCAGATCGCTCTCCAACCACAAAAAAAAAAAAAAAAAAAAAAAAAAAAGCCTTCTCGATTACATGATATCCGACTCCAATGGTTTGGAATCGTGATGTGAGCTACGACAAGTGTCCAGTGTTGCATCTTGTGGATGTTTCGTGATGATAAGGGACTTAGAATTAAACCACCAGTACTTGGCCCATCTATGTGCCGCGGAAAAACAAAATAGAGAAGAAACAACGTTTCTAGTCGGATGAAATGAATTTGGACGCTCCTGCAGTGGCCCGTACGTTTCCTAAAATCGTGGCTTGTATACGGGCATGACTTTAGGAAATACTCCTTGTTCAAGTCTGTGTCCGCTGTTTAACAGCTGTCCCCCTAAACTGCTGTGCTATTTGATATCTTACTTGTGTCTCACTCCAAGTTCTCCTTCAGACTCTCTGTTTATTGAGCAAGGGAGCATTCAAAACGATTGGAGCGGCCATTCTCAGTCCACTTTCAACTCACAAAATCCAGATGTTACCCCTTGCAGACCCCCTTGCATACCCCCTTGCAGACCCGCTTGCAGACCCCTTACTGCCTTGCAGACCCCTTGCAGACCCCTTTATTCGACCTCGTGACCATCCTATACATAAGAATAAGATGGTGGCAACGATCACTTCACTGGCCCCCTGTTAAAAACTCTAATTGGCTATAATCACTTCTTCGAAGCTCTTTCCCAAACCCCGAACACAAAAGAACACTGAAGCTGGTCGTCACTACTCCCTGCTACCCACATGACATGGCCATTGAACGACGGCAACAAGAGAGGTGGAGGTTGTCAGCGACAACGAGATACCTCTGTCTCCAATAGACACCGTATCTCTGCCTCACTCTCTCTCTCTCTTTTCTTCGAGCCCCAGATCGTCTATAGCGACTACAAAAAAAAGGACGTACTGATGTACGAAAGATGAGGCTCTAAGAAGCAAGCCTCTAAAATGACTTCATGGAAGTTCATTTCATTCCATGGTACGACCAACGTATAATCGAGTACGTGCATACTGTAGACAGAGTGTGGACGTCGCTACTCACAGCATGTCCGTACTGTACGTTCAACAGGTCCGTACGGCATTGTCCGCTGATGGTTACGATCCCATGCACTCCTAGCACAAAGAACACACAGAGGGCTGCAAAGAACACAGAGAGCAAGCAACCCTAGAGAATTGCCTTAGGCATGACAGTTCCTGACACAAACCCCTCAAAGGGTCTCATTTAACCCCTCAAAGGGTGCGTGTGAGAGAGACACAGAGAGAGAGAGAGAGAGAGAGAGAGAGAGAGAGAGAGAGAGAGAGAGAGAGAGAGAGAGAG